CAGCAGGTGACAGAGTTGGAGCTGCAGGCCAGGAAGAAAAGGGGACGGAAAAGAAAACATGGTGACTCTCCTTGTCATCAGAGGTAAACACTCACAACTGTATTATAAAGTACCTGAGCTGGTTGACTTGAAAATTCAATACAACCACTCACTATTGCTTTATTAACCCACTGTTTTCAGCACTGTGTGCTAAACCAGTGCCTTTTCTCTCTTTCTCTTTTTCCTCTCTATCATTCTATCTCTCTCTCTTCATGCTTTCCTTTTAGTGTCGCTGAGGATAAACCCGAGTGTGACACCCCCCCTGAATGTTTTAGCCCATTAGATGTCGACCAGGCTCCCTCTCAACCAGTAACCATCCAAAGAGAGGAGAAAGCAGATGGGCCTCCCAGGAAGAAGTTTCTGAGGGCGGGTCTTTACTCTGATGATTACAAAACTACAGAGTAAGTTGACAGAATTCATAAACAAACTATTACAACATTTTTTTATCTTTTTTGTTTGTTTATGTTTTTAATGTTTTTAAGTGTCTTTCCTAGCCCGCCCTCCCAAGCCCGGCAGTTGTGCAAAGAGAGTATGGATTACTCACCGGGGGAGCATGAATACAGCCTTTTACCTGCTCCCATAAATGTTGGTGAGTATTTAATAAAATTCCAAAAGCTGCTGTAGTTTGTTGTAGCTGCGATTGTTCATCCTAATTGTCTTTGTGTCCTCCAGGGAAGTACCTTAGGCTGAAGAAGATTCATTTCCAGTTACCTTATGATGTTATGTGTCTGTGGCAGAACAATCAGGTACAGTGGAGCCCCACAACACAGAATCAGGAAGTTAGATGGGCAACCTGAAACATCATTGAAGATAAAAGAGTGTTACGAGGGGATTTGTGGAGTGTCATGAATGTGCATGTAATTCTGATGTTGTGTTGTCACAGCTTCAAAAGCAGCCTACTGTCCCCCTGAAGAGGAAGCGGCATTACTGTGAGTTGCCAGTAATCAATGTGTTATCTTCAAGTTCAGTAGATGGATCAAATCAAGTCTCTCATACAGCGTCTTACTCTGTATCTCTCACTCAGGCCGGCTGAAGGAAAGGATTGTATCCTCTCATCGGACATCGGTGAGTTCATGTGGCTTGGGGTTGTTCACTCCAGTGAAGAGCGCAGCTTTAATAAGTGTTAAACTTATAAGCGTCCCTCCATTTTATTTTTATTTTACAGGAGAGCTCTAGCGACATTACTAGCTTGTTTCCACACCTCGACATGGAGCCTTTGACCAGCAGTGAGCGGTACGGAAAGAACGGCGCGATTAACATAGATACAGTAAACTATTACTGAATTGATGTCAGTGAGCTAATGTGTCTTCCTTGTGTGCCGGGCCAGGAGCTTTGTGGTGGAACACCACGTGTTCCTTGTGAGGAACTGGGAGCTCGTGAGAGACAGACAGATCCGACTGAGGATAGAGAGGGAGAGAGACGCAGAGGGAGAGGAGCAGAACTCACGACGCCTGTCCTGTGATGGAGCCAATGAAGACGACAGCCACATCAAGTCAGGTCCATGAAGCAAGTGTGTGTGTTAGTTTTTGTTCCTGTAGGTGTTTGTGTATGCATACGTGTATGTGGTTGAACTCTATACATTTTCATTTCAACATCTGTATAGATTTCTTCTTATGTCCCGTGTTCTGTCTTTTACTTAATGTGTGCATGTATGTGCGTGCGTGCGTGTGTGTGTGCTCTGCTTACAGCCCGTCGTCCTCATATTTGGCCTGTCTTTCCATATCATTCTCAGCAGCACAAACTAAGTGGTTTTCCAACCACAGAATTTCAGCCTGCAGAAATGTTTCCCCATTTCTGTCATCCAGCGCTGGTGTCCAAGAACCCAGCTGACATCAACTTTCCCCATTAGCAGTGAAACCACATCGTTACCATCAAAGATTCCCTGCCTGATAGGAATCAAGGGAAAATAAGGACACATGCATAATTACAGATATATCTGTAAAATAAATAATGCGCTGTTGTCATTCCCTCCTACAACGCCTTCACTAACATACAGAATACTGTTTGAACTCTGACCCTCAGATCAGCAAGTGGGGGTGGAGGTGACGGTTATCAGCAGTGACCCCCACCATCAGAGTCAGGACACCTCCAGCTCACTCACTGCCAGCCCCTGTGTGAGTGAAACACCACCCACCTACTACAAAAAACAAGTCTTTTCTTTTAAGAATGCATGTTTCCACAATGATAAAAATCTACTTTTGCAATTAGTTGTGCATACTTGTTCACCACAGCCCACCAAAACCCAGAACAGACAAGAGGAGGAGGGAGAGGAAGAAAAACGAGGGGAAGAAGAGGTCTGCAGCAGAGAACAGAGGAGGAAACGGCTGAATGATATACTTTTGACCCTGCAGCATTCATAAGCTAACAATGAGAGGTAAGTAGAGCATCAGATACAGAAACAGGAGGGACTCGGAAATGTATACGCATTGTCTCGTTGATATTGTCTTGCCTTTACGTAGGTGGGACCACTCTGAGAAAGGGACCAGGCCCACCACCGGACAGATGGACAGGAACTGATGTCACAACACTGCTATTAACAGTAGTAGTGCCGCGGAGAACAAGCGAGAAAAAGAAAACGCGAGATGGAGAATTATAGCAGCTGAAAAATGCAAGAAAGACATCTCACACACTGACAGATGAGTGTGGTGAACCTAGCGCTCTGAAGGGCATCACACCAAGGATGAAACCATGGAAACACATCTTTTGTCCAAGCGGCAAGGGATGAGACAAACTGAGACAAACTGTCCCGGATGAAAGAAATAAAAGAAACAGACCAGCTGAAATTAATTTGCACTAGTGCTGGATGAGCAAGCACACTAAAGACTGTATGTATGCTGAGTGAACACAATATAAACACACACACAAACACATACACTTTGATTGCTCTTACTTAGGCACCTTAAGCAAAGACAGACATCGGTCCGAGTCTGACAGTGGACATATATGGTATTTAGCATTTCAGCTCGGAAGTTTCCAAGAGACGAGAAGCTCAGGAGCTGCCCGGGGATACAAATATGTAGCCTGGGCCCTAAGTAGGTCAAAATTGAACCCTCATTTACTCATTAAGCTTTCAAAGTCACATTGCACCTTTGGGAAATGACACAAAGAGAAATGAACCAGTTGAAAGCTGTTGAGACAGTGGTAGGGGTTTTTACTTCACTTTACCAAGACTATGTCTGCTATGTACCAGTGAATAGGCAGGGGAGGGGGTGGGCTTTGTGATTGGAATTTTGGCATCGCTGCAAGAGAATTTCAAATGAGGTTTTAAGAAAGAACTTATTTTTGGAAAAAAAAAAAGACAGCTTGAGCACTGTCTGCTTAAGAGATGGGCAAAATATATTCATGATAGGAATGTTTATTGTTGACTATTTTCAGTATTGCTTCCTGGGGAAGGGAGAGAGAGAGGGGTAAAAAGGGTTTTGTTTACTTCAGACTGCCTTTGAGAATGTTTTTGCTCCAGAGCATTGACAATCAGAATGTCCGAGGGGGAAGAGGAGAGACAAAACTAGAATTGATTTGCCCCAAATGCTCTGTAGAAGTGCCATGTTGTCTTGTGTACGTACCTAAGCAAACTCATGCAGTCTTTAAAAGCAATATCTCATCTGATAAGGACTATATAAGGACTTCTGTTGTTGTGTTTTTTTTAGTTGTGAATATCTGAGGATTGGAGGTCATTTTTCTGTACAGTTGCATAGTAGATTGTCCTCATGTTAGGAGGATTGGGCTAATCCACTTAGTGGAAGTAGCGTTCAGTTTCATGAATGTACATAGAGAGAGAGAGAGAGAGACCTGTTTTCCTTCTATCAGCAGTAGCGTGTGAAATGAGTATTATACATGACAATACTATTGGGATTATACATACAACTTATTAATCAAACCTTTCGTTTTACTAACATGTTTTTAACAGAGTATAAAGCTGACCAATATACCAGTCATTTGTCCCTAAAATTGACTATGATTGTATATGATTTTTTTGTAGAATTACATAATTTGTCTCTTTTCTTAGCTGAGCGTACATTTTTCATTTTCTAATTATTGGTCAGACAATCAGTGACAGTGATTTAGTCTTTCCAGTGTTACATTTCTGCTCTCTTTCAGTAGTGGCTTCTAATAACAAGCCAAGAAAGTGCAATTTCTTTGACTGTTTACATACTGTATGTATATTCTTCCTCTTTCCTTTTTTAACTAAGAGCACTACATTATTGCCAGTGGATGATTAACTTTATAGCAAAGGTACACATAAAGAGTTATTTATCTAGTTTGCATGACATGTAACCTTTGCCTGTTGCCTCTGATAATATGCATCTAAAAAACAAAACATCAAAAACAGTTATAACTCAATGCCATAGAATGTCAGCTCAGACAATTTGCCTCTATAACCATAATAATAAAAGCATTTTATGTCTACTAGTACTAAACCCTGCAGACTCTTGGTGTATCAGTTATAAGGCTTTCTGTGTTTTGGGAGGTTATTGCAGTGATTTTAATCAGGTTGAGCTAACAGTGCTATCTAGTGGTGTTTGCATGTATATCTCACACTGTGTTGTCCTCCATAATGACCCACAATGGAGGACGATATCAAAGGAACACGGTTACAAGATGGGGGAGGGCTGCAGCTCACTCCGGAGATTTGTTCCCCTCTTTCTGCCCTTCACAACATCCGAGGGTATCCTGGGATTTTTTTTTCTTTTTTTTTTAATCTAAACCAAGAAGTAATAGAAATGTCCCCTATGAACATAAAAAAGACAACATTTGTAGTTAGGTTTCAGTCTTGACTTCCTTTGCAATCTGACACATGTAGGTAGTTTCCTGTCACATTTCAGATACAAATACAGGACATATATATTTCTGAGTGAGGTATCTCATACATATTTCCATGATGGTTTAATGTATAAACTGTGATTAATAGGGCTTTTAACATCAATTTAAGTGCTAAAATATGACTCAGACAGCTGCCCAAGTTTGGTTTATACTGATCATTTTATTTGGTGTATTTACAAACAAGCACATGCAGGAGGTTGACAGTGACTGACACTAGAGGGGCACTGAACTATATGCAATAGTAGGACACAGGGATGTCTACAGGCTACATGACACCAGAGAGAGAAAGAGGAGGAGAGGGAGGTACATCTCAATGTTACACGCAAGCAGCCGCACACACGCACGCACACACGCAGTGAAAGTGCAGGATGTGCAGACACACCGATGTGCTCACACTCATCTCTGCTTTCACTGCCAAACACGCTGCCATGTATGCACTCTCTCTCTCTCTCTCTCTCATGCACACACACACACACACACACACGCGCACAAGACCCAGATAGATAGAGAGACATTAGATGGGTCAGATAGAGCTATTCCTTTCAGAAACCTCATGATCTATAAATAGTACATCCAATAAATTAACAGATTTCAAACAAATGCATTTAGACCAGAATCTCACAAATAAACAAACCAAAAAATATAAACAGAATTGAATGTGTCAACTGATATTTCATCTTTATCGAGACATTATTTCTTGTAAACACCTAGGTGTTATCCATTTGATGGCATTTTATTGTGATCATAGGTTATGAGCACTGGTTAGATTAAATGCTACTGGACAGTTGCCATCGTGACTGTAATGTCATGCTACATGGCATTGACACAATAAAACGAGGAAACTTTGAAGAACTGAGCTTTCCCTGATTGATCAAGAGCAATGAAACTTTCCTGCTGTATTAAATGGAGGTCCTTTAGTGTCAGCCTTTCCTGACCAGTTAAAATCCATCTCTTTCATATTAACTTTAACTATCTAAGCGATTTTTTTAGGCTTCATGTGCCAACATCAAATCAAAACTTTGAGTTTAAAACAAACAAAAAGGCTGTTAGTTGTACATTTAACCATATGCATAGTCATCAATACAGAATCTAGACAATAACTAATAAATATATGACATAAAGCAATGGGGTTAGAATCAACATATCACTTCCACCACTACCACTATCATTAATATCAATGATTATGATGAGCAAACATGGCGGGAAGGGGTAAGATAAATACAACAGCGGAGGTATGAGGTGGAGACCAGCCACCAAACCTACGGACTTTACAGTAGCATTTATGAATACTTCATAAATACCTCTGGGATTTTCTCACTGCATTAAGTTTAAGGTCAGATAGTGTTGAACAAGAGTTGAGCATAGTTGTGTGAGGTGTTTACTCTGACACGTGTTGGCCTCTTGAGGTTTTGGACGAGTTGAGAGATGAGCTCCAGATTGCTTTTGTCTGATATTATCTTCTATAACTGTGTGGGATGGATAGATGGATAGATTGATATTTTTTGGCATTCATTCAAAGCATTCATGGCACATTACAATGCATACAGTGTTAAAGGTATGAGGATAAATCTAATAATTGTATGAATATGATGTCAAGACAATAGCAATACATGAAGCAAACAGGAGGGAAGATACTGGATTTCATACTTAAACACTTTTTTTTTTTTTGCATGGATGATAACCACTTAATGTGTGTGTAAAGTTGCAGATGTAAAGATTTAGAATGAATCCATTCATTTTCAATCATCCACTTCCTCAATGTGGCCACAGTATTAAGCTGCTGCTCGTGTTTTACCATCTGCTTTCTCTTGTTCATCTATCTTTCTATCTATCTTGGTAATATCAATCTCAATTTATATACCTATATATATTTTTTTTTATGTATATTTATACAGTCAAATATAGTAGCAGAAACATGTCAAACACACATGAACCAGGCGATAAAGGTGAGAGGTCAATAGGGGTGAAAGGTCAATAGAACACAGATCTACACAGCTACAATTCACTACATTACTACGCAGTATGCAACAGGAGCTACGGCCCAGTACTCTCACATCCTTTCTCCATTCGACAACCTGCGAGCCACGACTCTCTACAGCTGACGGCGAGAGATATCAACGTGGCTACCACCAGGCACCAAATATGACTGTCGCCTCCTCATGACAGGCAGCCTCTGATCTGAAAGCACTCACATCTGCAAGTTGTTGATCGGGCAAAAGTTACCCTGAGATCATTTTCAGATCAGTGGCTGACAAGGAATGCAGACATTGAGAAAAGAACATTTTAAAGGGATACTTCACCCCAAGATCAAGGTATGAAATGATTTAAGTTTGACTTGAGTCATTATTTCACAGCATCTGCTGCATTCCTGCTGCCAACATCCATTAGTTTAATGCTACCAAACTGGATGGATTGTGATGGGGAAAAAAACCCTCCCATATGTTCATAAAGGGAGTGGGCTGCAGACTGCTCCTGATGCATGTAAAGCAGAACAGATGGTGTTATACACTCAACTCAAACCGAGCAAGCATGAAATATCCCTTTTAGAGTAGTGAAGCCTCACCATAACACTCGCCTAAATATATATATTTATATATATTCATTTTTTTTATTTTTTATTGATTGAGTGCAGCAGTTATGGTACCGAAGTCACATGATGAGGGAGGTGTAGCCAATAGGTACCAGTCCCTCCTTGTCTCCCTGAAGACAGCGAATCCAGTCCTGATCGACTCCTCCTAACACCACCAGTTTCTCCCCTTTGCAGAAGCTAAGCTCCGAACCTGTTCCAGAGTGGTCACACAGCGTTCGTACGGACCTGAGGACAGACAGCAGAGATCTTCTCAGCCACAATTCTCTACACAGACAACATATGAGGTAGTCGATCCTTGGATGAGTCACAATGCAGGATTGATGGTGAGTCACCAATTACAGACTTTCAAAGACGAAAAAGACAATAGGCGCATTCCTGGTGTCTACTACACCCACTGGTGCTCTTGGAGGGGGGGGGGGGGGGAAGAAGTCATTTCAAAAAGGAAAAAAAACATGCCACAACTCATATTTAAAGGCGCAATGTGCAAGATCTGGTCAAGTTAGTTTTAAAACATTCAAAAATCAGCTAACATTATCCACAGAACTGCGTCTCAGCCATCACTGTCACTTTATGTCGGTTGTACCTGAGCGGTCTGGGTTTGTCCTTCATCTCCAGTGTGTCAACCTCCTTCTCTGACTCTGGTTCATTTTCTCCCTGGGGCTCTGGGCCCCTCCTTATTATCGGAGTGGAGTTGCTGCTCACCATTCGTGTCAGCGCAGTGACACCAGGAGCCAGCCACTGAGAGGGACGCCTGCAGAGACAGACACAAAGAGGACGAGTGGAACAGAGAAAGAGTGTGGGACAGAAGGGCAGAGAGGAATCACATAAAGCTACCAAACAAGTACAACAGTGACTTTAGAGTTTCTTAATGTAACTACAGTGGTTGAATTCACAAATTCATCACCTTTCTCTCTAGCTTAAGAAAAACAAATTAATTATGTGATTCATTGGCTAACCTGGTTGGTGGCGTGTGACCTGGTGGGCTGTTGAGGCTTTTAGAGGCTCCAAAGAGCCGCCCCAAACCCCAGGGAACCTGAGCCCCACTGCTGACCGCAGCAAAGTCACTTCCTGCTTGGGCCTGGAGGTCCGGCAGATCCGTCTTTACCTCCTCCTTTTTCAGGTTCGGCTCAGACAGGTTGTGGCTCAGTCTGCCTCCCCAGCGCATCACAGCCCCCCATCCCTGCTGGATCACCTATGATTAACAAAAATGTCAGCTCTGCAGGATCACAGACAACATATTTGACTACAAACACTGAACAGCCACGCAAAGGTGAGTACCTGTCCTGCCTGCTGAGCGAGGCTGTCCTCAGCATTAGGAAGAGGGAAGTCTCCAATATCCTTCTCCTGCACCCACAACAGCTGAGGACTTGTCTGAGTGACCGAAGCTTTTATGGGTGCAGCGCTGCTATGTGTTGACTCCCCTGGTACTCCATTCTTTGGATTGCTCAACGGTGACAATTTCTCTTTGGCTGCCCGATATTCTGGGCTTCCAAAGTCTACTTCTGAGAGGCTTTCAATATATTTGCAGCTTGTGATTTTGGATTTGGACCCCTCTGTTGACCGCTGGGATCCAGCATCCTGTGAAGGTGGACTGGGGATCTCTGGAGTGGGACTGTCTGGCTCTAAATGGTGGTGCTGGAAGAGCAGGTCGAGGTTGAAGGTCAGCAGGCTGAGAGGCTGCAACACGAGGAGCAGCTCCTCAAACAGAGGCTGGCAGGCAGTCAGCGACAGATGCATAAAGGAAGAGGGCCGGTAATATGTCTCTAGCACGTCTGAGAGAAAGAGAGATCACTGTTAAAAGCACATGCATGCCCACAAGAATGACAGGGAAGTGATGGAAACTTACCACTGCAAGACTGAAGGTGAGATAGCCAGAAATCCAGAAGCTTGGTACTAGAAGAAAAGAAAAATAGAGAACAGGAAAACTGAGGATCCAAAGAGAACATGTGCGGGGAAATTAAAATATGAGGGAAAAAAAATAGATAATGTTATGACTGATTTGAGCACTTGTCATGCTACCAGTAGAGACCAGCAAGGATGAGGAGCCATGACTCACTTCAGTAGACCAAGGAGGAATGCGTTGAACCTGTGTTTGCTCTGTCTGAGCTGAGGCAGCTCTCCAACACGGACTTGTAGGTTGAACAACGCTTGAGATTTAGGACCTTGAAAAGTGGGTTGAGAGGAAGAAGGGAGGGAGAGAGAGAGAGAGGAACTTACAGAGGTCTGCGAAAAATTGCAGTGAAACTTGGCACTCATAAACCAATCAATATCTGCATCCTGTTGTTAATTCAGCATTTTAGACACTAAAATCAACAAGTATTGACTGATGTGTGGGAAAATGAGAGGCAGAATAAGTCCAGAGCTTATCATTATCAACCAGGGAATAAAACAAGACACAACTAATATCAAATCCTTAATATCCAAGTCTATAAATGCTAATTTTCCGACAATTGGAGTGCTACCTGGCCTGGTTGAGGCCTGGACCAGACCCCAGGCTGAATTTGGCCTCCTGCCTGCAATCAGGTCACTCTGGTGAGGTTTCAAGCCATCGGTCAGCAAGCTGTGCAGGGCAGGGCAGAGACACTGCAGCACCAGACGGCCCAGAGATGGATTTATAGTGCTGTCTCCTGATAAGGCCTAGGGAGGGGAGAGCAGACAAGAGGAAGGGAAAGGAGGAAGATGTGCAGTGATAGGGAGGGACAGGGGAATAGAACAGCAAGGATGATTCAAGAAAGAGGGAAGAAAGGAAAATGGGACACATAAATGGAGGTTGGAGAGAAAGGGGGGTGGGGGGTTGTATGGGTATGATTTGAATAGACATGAGTTGGGCGGTTGGAGTTAGTTTACAAACAAATTCATAAGACTACTAGATTAGGTTATCTAAAGATATTCTAGTACCTTGTTAACTGAGAGAGACTGAGGAGAGACAGAACAACATATGTAGAGTCAGAACAAGAAGGAAGCGAGGGAAAGCATTTTCAAAGATGAACAATAAATTCAAAACAATATGACATTTTTTTTTGTTATCAAGAGTGATGTGAAACAAAACAGTTTCCATTTATGAAAAAAACGTCTTAATTCTGTTATTTAAAATCCCACTGGTGACGTAAATTTAGCAGTGACTGACCTTCTGAACTACAGTGCGAGAAGAGCTGAACTGGGCCAAGATGGCTTCCACTGCCATACTGACCGCACTGACCAGAGCTGCAGGGAAGAACAATGGTCTTTGGTTAAACTGTAAGACCTCTCGACATCAGGGACAGAGACACACAGACGGACAGGTGAACACACACACAGGTGAGACACACACCTTTTTTGTCCTGCAGGCACAGAGCGGACAGGCCCAGACCTCTCATTGGATGCTTCACATCTTCACCCATCCAGGATTTATCTGTCCTCTGGACAGAGCCAGCGAATGAGACACTGCGAACAGCTGACAGCGACAGCAAAAGAGCAATTACTTACTATAATTAGTATTAAAAAAATATACAAATTCAACAGAAGCAAAATGAGTCACCACAGACATTAAATGTATAAATAAATAAATACCATAACTAAAGAAATTGCGTTATTAGTAGGAGCAGTTAAGCAATGAGGAGCACCGGAGGAGGCAGATAGAAGCAGATGGTGCTACTGACAACAAACAGTGTGTGAAGACATCCTGTAAATATTGGTTGGTTGTGGTGCGCTTTCAACATCTGGATCTGTGAAGACAACTTTCTGGACACATCAGGGATAAGTAGGATCCCATGCATTAATCTTGACTCACACTCATACATACTTAATATAAGCATAGACAGGAGAAACTATCGAGCTAGGGGCGACACAGTTGTATAAGCTACCACATCAGTCAGGTCAGATCCAATCACACATACGTTCAAAGGGCAGGTGTTGTGTACAGTTCATATAAAATGATTTATATAAACTAGTTATATAAATACATTCATATAATGAACAGGATGCAGTGGACTTTGAAATTGCCCTAGATGTACACAAAGATAATAAAGTTTAACTTAAAATTTAAAATAATGACATTACAACATAATGGACAAGTATACTTGGGTTGTGCCTGGCATGAAATGCATGTGTCCATTTCAACATACCGTGCAAAAAACAGAAACAACATGGAGACAGACCAGACCGACACAAAGACAGACAGACAGACAGACAGGGAGGGAGACAGGGAGACAGACAGACGAGGAAAGAGGGAGAGCCATGAGAGCAACTCTAGGCACCCTGTGACAGGAACGGCTGTCACCCCTCTGAAGGCCCTTTGCAGATTTGAAAGGAAAGTGTAGATGAGACGTACCAGATGACCTGCAGGGAGTTACCTTCTGATACATAAAAGAAGCTACAGTTACCTAGTTCTTTCAAATCTGCAAATCCCCCGGGTCGAGAAAGTGACAAAAGTCTGAGAGACACTATATGCAGGGCAGAGAACAAAGACAGAAACAGACAGTAAAAAGGACAGACAGACATGCATGCAAGCAAGATGACAAAGAGAGTGTATAAGATGGAGAGATGGAGAGAGAGAGAGAGAGAGAGAGAGAGAGAGAGAGAGAGAAATCTTACTCGCCACGCGTGACTGCGGAGGAGCCTGGTAGAGTTTTGGGGGTAGGGCGGGCGCCCTTGGCGGTATAGGAGGGTAGAGGTTTGGATAGTAGAGGGGAGCAGCGAGGGCAGGCAAGGTGTGAGAGCGGGGGAAAAGCGGGGAGCTGAGGTAGGAGCCTGCTACGCCTGGGGGGGGCGCACCGGGGCGCTGGGGAGGGGAGAGGGCGCCGATAGGGGAGAGGCGGGGAGGGGCACCCCTGTGCAGAGGGCAGTTTTTTGGGTGGTACAAGTAATACGTAGGAAGAGGAGGAAGCTCCTTAGATGCCCTGGCCTTGTTGCTGTTGTGATCCGTGCACGAGTTTGTGCGCTTTTGTGAATACAGCGAGTCCATAGTACTGACACTGTTTGAATACGTCATCATGACATCTATGTTCTTATATGGGGTCGTGCAACCAGGAGCCTCTGCGGTGCCACTAACAGGTGTGTCTGACTTAGTGTGTGTGTCTGAGTCACTGCGGTATAGAGAGTCGAAATTACAGATAGAGTCAGACGTAAGAACCCTGGGTGTGTTAAACATCTTCCCATAATCACAAGGAGAGTCTGCACCAAAATCTTCCAGAGATTCATAGCCAGAGTTTATATCAGGGCTGGAATCATCTCTGTGGATACAAGCTGAGCCGGCAGCAGGGGCCCACTGTGTGTTACAGTGTTTGTCTGTGGACTCCCTGCCTGCATGACTGCGGGGTCTGGGATCTGCAAAGGGCTGGGAGTTACAGTAGCCTGGATGATAGGTAGGGAGGGCGGTGTGGAGGAAATAGGGTTGGGAGAACTGGGCGAGGGACAGTGGTGGGGAGGAAACTGCTTATTGGAAAGGGTAACAAAGCCAAAAAATTGAAGGTGCAGAAATCAGGATGGAGAGGGCAGGCGCACAAGCAAAGCGATTATGAGGGAGCAAAGTGGAGCCATGGACAAACAATGGAAACAACAAAATGGGATGGATAGGTGAGAAAAACAAGGAAGTTTAAAGCAACAAAAAAAAAATGTGGCAGAGAAATGGGAAGGAGAGAGAGAGATGCATAAAATGTTAGTGTCTGTCAAGAGAAAAATGCACATTCATGAGTGTATTCCAGCAGAAATCGTCATCATGTAACATCATGCAGTAATGCAGTATTTAAACAATTCAAACAGTTGATTGACACTTACACATTGACAGTGCATGAGAGTCAATGGAGTTGATTTATGAAGGGCAATAACCACAGTTTTTCATTTAAGAGTGTTTGACACAACTTCTCACAGCTGCACAGTAGAAATACTACTTATTCCCCACTGACACCTTCATCTCAAATGCCACCATCAATCGCAAATATTCATCATATTTCAATGTGGGTTTTCTTTACAGCATCTGGTTTCACTTTTATTTCATACTTGAAGTAAGTGTTATGAATATAAAGTAACAGTGTAACAGTTTTGTAATTTACTGCAGTGCCATCATCACCTCTGGATCACCTTCTCTTCTCTTTTTCTCTGCGCTGCCGTTTGTTTTCTACCTCTCTAGCTTCTTTCACACACCCCCCCCCCCCCCCCCCCCCCCCCCCCCCCCACCCCCCCCCC